CCTGACAAACGGGTCAAAGAGTGCGCGCGATATTTTCTTCCCATTCCTTGTCCTGTCCTCTCCCCTTACACTCTTACATGAACTACACTATCACACGTGTCGGGAGACCAGTCATGAGATTAGAACTTTCCGCGAGAACTAGACGGCAGCCCCACTGAAGGGAGATACCCGGGGAAGGAACATACCATCCAGCGAGGGGAGAAACACCGCTACTTCCCGCGGCAAAACACTTTCTAGACGAACGGGACTACTGAATACAGCAGTTGTCGTGGAAATATCAATCTTTGAAGGTAACAGTGTCAACAAAATTGAAGAAACTAACAAAAATGCCTCACCGATGCTAGAAGGAACAGAAATCTTATGCGAAGGAAACGAAGATAAAATATACGAATATTTATAAACTGAAGCTCCTAACAGTAGAGTAATATTGCAATTAAAACTAAAATTTTCAAATTCGGACGTGAAGTCGATATGTAAAGGCGAGGAGAAAGCAATAGGCGAGAATTTAGAGAAACATAAACAAAGAATCAGGCACAATGCGTGTAATTGCAAACGAAAGAAAATGGAAATAGAAATGGGAACGACAGTTTGGGGACGAGCGTAAAGGATATGTCAATAACCACAAAGACCTGGCCGAGACTAAATCAGGAATAAATTCGGGAATGCAAGCCAAGACAAGAAAGAAGAGCTAGAAGATCTAGAACGATTGGTGCAGGCGCGAGAGGGATGTTAAGTGCTACGAACAAGAAAGTATTTATTTAGTTTACTTATTAAAAATAGTTGATATTGTGTAACATATGCGGGGGAGTACAATCTGCACATGTGTCTTTGAATTCCAGATTCCCTAAACTCTTAGTTTTACGATACATGATTAAATTTTGAATATAGGTGACGAGTATTTTAACATTTAATAACAAAAAATATTTGCCTCTAATTAATGGAAACTGTTTGCAACGGCAACGGCAAATTGTGCGCAGATTGTAGTACCTTGCACACTTCTATTTCAGTTTTTAATAGTTTAGGGATGAATAAATAAATAGTAGAGGTATACTAAAAGGACAGAGGTGCACAGACTGTACATCTCTCTTACAGGTCACACATTTTTAACTGCGTTTGACGTTAAAGAACTACTGCATGGTTGTCAAAAAACCGAGGCCAAACCCCAATTCAGCTGAGAGTATGGCAGGATGATTGTGACAGTGAAGGCGTGAATTCGGGAGCTGCGGCACGGGTGACCAAAACGAGCCGTGGGGCCAAGGGACGTGTTCAGGTTGCCAGTCGGGTCGAACGAGGCAGAGAATCGGCCCAAACGGGGACTCCACCGAAGCGAGGGTGTCGCAGAGCGACGTGGCGCTGTGTGGTGCGGCTGCGTGTGAAGGCCGCCCTGGAAAGTGCCGGAGCCGAAATGGAAGCTGGTGGGCGAAGGGCTGCATGCGGCGGCGGTGTGGGGGAAAGGGAGGGGTAACGGGGAGTTGATGTGGTAGAGGCGCGTGCGGGTGGGAGGGTCGCCGTCATTACAGCTAATGAGCTGGCCGTATTAACAATGATTGAACCTCGATTCTGGTGGCAGTGGCGTTTGATAACGAGTAGCGGCTGGTGGCTACGCCGCGCGGTCAGCGGATCGACGCTCCCCCTTCCCCTCTGCCCCTCCACCGCCCTCCCTCGATCGCGAGTCGCGGCTGAGCGCTCCGTCGCATCCTGTAAGCGCTGCTCAGTGCTCCTAACTGCTGCATTTCGCCCACGCGACTGCCTCGTCGCCACGAGCCCGGACCGTTGCTCGTGAGCAGGCCTAATTCGATGAAGACAGGTGTGATTGGAGCTCGTCCTCCCTTCTAGCGTCGATATTCGGTCGCAAATGTACTTTAGGAAGATACAGGAGCTATTTCGCCATTTAGATGTTTAATAATTGACGTATTTTCTGTTCTACCACTAGATTTATTAGCATTACTGCAGCTGACATACCTGCCAACAACCATATAAAACGTTAATGATGATCACAAAGGTTGTGGCCGAAATGGTCGATAGTCAGTTGATAATTTGTCAGATCATAATGTCATGTTTACGTCATTCCAGGAAGACCACCCGAATAGATAATTTTTTACTCTTGTGGTATTTATGAAGAAAAATGTAAACGTACGTTTAAATGTTCTGCTAGATATACTATATGAAACTGGAGTAATCTATAATTGATCAAATACATCATAAAATAAATGCATGTTAAATTAATTCTGGGTTAAACAACCAAGGCGAGCAAGGCGAAATCAGTGAATTTGGATACGGCAGGTAAGTAAAGTTCCTGCTGGAAAAATCAAAGATTTTTGTTAGAAAGAAAGTACTTTGCGAGTACTGCGTCACGTATTACTTGAATAGCCTTTAAGTCGAAATACCGTGAAATTAATTGCAATAAATTTGAAACCGGACTATTTAGAATGTGTATTTTTTGAATGAAATCTTTGTTTGCAAATGTGTGCTCTATTCATACATTTCCCCTTTAGGTTTGTAAATGTCAAAAATAACCAAATTTAACTTTTTTAAAATTTCAAGCATTGAGAAAACTCGAGCCATAAATTATATCAACTGTTACGATGGATTATCGTGAGGTCATAATGATGAACGTTTGTTGCTGGATTGATAACTTTCCATATGACTGGATAGAGGCTTGCTTAAATGCATACGTTCATGATCAATAAATGGCGTGCGATATTAATACGGGTAACATAGAGCCTGCATGAATTGTAAAACGTACTGTTTATTATGAATAATGTGGGCAGAGTTTTTGTTTACAGATTTACTCCAAATTGCTTTTTGGCCACAAATTTATGAGGTAAAGTTTCTAAAATCGTTGAAAGTGAATTTCATTTCTGACAGGCATCTCGTATGTGAGGACATTACCTTTGACAACAACGTATTTATATTAACATGCATTTTTTATATGCATATTAGCCAACTGCACATCCTATTAAGAGTAAGGGCTTCCTACTCGCGCAGGCAATTAATACTTCTTTAATGAAGTGATAGGATGATCATGAAGGGTGGAGGGACGATCTCAAAGACATCCATGACTGAGACGCGATTCTAACCCGCTATCCTTCGATCAGAGATCGCCTCGACACTACTGCCTTAGCGATCTCAGCTCTCCGGGTGGACTTAACTCGCATTTGAAAGCATTCTAATTTGAGCTTTCTGCATTTTTGAAATAGCTTAGGAAAGTAAAGTTCTGGCTTAATATTAATTTTAGGCGCCTTATGGTATATCTGATTGATTTACAGAAGTTCAAAAAATTATAATTATTACTCAATATTCACACTGACTAGGTCCCCGAACATATAAACTCCCTCATTCTCTAGATTGTTGATCTCAGTGCTTACCCCAAATGTAAAGAATATATCAACTCTCTACGTTTTCACTCGCAAAGGAAAATAACGTAAATACAATGAATACAATAAATATTTTAATATCATGTTATATTTAGTGTTACCAATGCAAAATATATCAGTTTATAATTGAGGGGTATGGTGGAAGAAGGGCGTAACTCGAATTATGGCGTTTATCCGTAAAACGTTTCAAAACGTTCTTTAGATGACTTTCTACCCCTCCAGATGGTACTGCCCTAACCCCAATTGATGTCGTTTGAAAGGCTTTTGAAATTCTAAAATGCGCCTTTTTCGTAACATCATTACCTTTATGATCATGCATCATCCGTTTCTCGGTGTTTAGAACATAGACAGGATGGCTGTGAGTACAGAAGATGTGAATTTTCCCGATATATTACATTTTTCATCGTATACCATGTGATCAAAAGTATCCGGACAAGTGACTGAAAACGGCTTACCAGTTCGTGGCGTCCTCCATCGGTAATGCTGGAATTCAATTGGGTGTTGGCCCACCCTTTGCCTTGATGATAGCTTCGACTCTCGCAAACATACGTTCAATCAGGTGCTGGAAGGTTTGTTGGGAAATGGCAGCCTATTTTTCACGGAGTGCTGAACTCAGGAGAGGTATCGATGTAGATCGGTGAGACCTGGCACGAAGTCGGTGCCCCAAAACATCCCGAAGGTGGTCGATAGGATTCAACAAAGAATGAATAGGTGCTCGATCGTATTGAAAGATGCAATCGCCATCGCCGAATTGCTCTTCAACAGTGGGAAGCAAGAAGGTGTTTAAAACATGAACGAAAGCCTGTGCCGTGATTGTACCACACAAAACAAGGGGTGCAAGTCCCCTCCATGTAAAAACACGACCAAGCCATAACACCGGTTTGGACGTGTTCGAATACTTTTGATCACATAATGTATTTTTAATTTATGTGAGAAATACAGCTTGTAAACAGTTCTTCTTGATTATTTTAAAACTATATTTTCTGAATCACGCCTTTCTTCCATCCAATCCCTGAATTATTGCTCTTAGTGAAAGTAATGTAGTGAGCTTCAAATGTTATATGCTGTATATGGAATGGAATATGAACGTTTAATTGATAATAGAAGCACTCACGGACGGACGGTAGAGAGACAAATTTTTCCGTATCAAATCACCCGACATGAACGAAATGTGATTTCGTACTACCCAAATTCCTGTTAGAAATAATTTATTACGTATAGGAACATGATGTATCCACTTTTGCGATGTCAGGGTCACACAATAAGGATTTTCTGCCGAAAAATCGCCCATGTTTGCAACAGCATTAGAATACTTTCTTCTTATTAGTTAATAGTATGTAGTAAGTGATGAAAGAAAAACCTGTTTTACTACAAATGGCTCCAAATTTTGCTATAGGTTTTTATCCTCAGAAATTGCAAAGGACACTACAAGAAATTGGACAAGTCTCACTTCCGTTGAAGACTCTGAATTTTCGAAAATTGCGAAGGTTATAAACAATGCGGAAAAGTTTGTACAGTTGTAGCACCACTAGTTTTTATATATTTAATACTTCAATATTAGTAGGCTCCATTATGTTCTTATGCGTAGGTCCTCTGACGATGTTAATCGGGCCAAGAACCCAGGCATGGCAGAGATTGGATTTATTTGATCTGCTATTGGATATGAGCGGCGAGCAGTTTCAGCCTATTTGTGTCTCAAATTGGAACAAAATTCCAAGCATGGCCGCTGAAAATACATGGCAGTTTCGTGAAGGGCGCCAGAGCAGCGGCGCGAAACGGCCAACTTGCCGGAGGGGTGAGGAAGTTTTTATTGCTTCATAAAGCATGTCGAGAAGGGAGGATAATGCTGGGAATATTTACGCTTCCAGGGAGGAACCTCACGTGTTCTTGCCGCTATTTATGGACGACGCAGTTTCGCAGAACGCAAAGGCCATCGCTCGACGCAACTGCGTGAGCGCGACGAATGACGCCACATGCACTGAAGAGACTGACTGGGGGCAATCTAACGCCCCGGCAACGTAGGGAATTTACTAGCTAGCCCATCGGATTAGGTGGCTCAGGGCATACATTGATGTCACTGCAGTTCCTGTGACTGGGAGTCCCGTCGGTGGCAGGAATCTCCACACTAGCTGCAAGTCGAATTCAGCAGCTGCCTGGAGTATAATTCATGCGGCCGGATGCTTAGATCTGTAGTTTTCCGAGGTTTTTCCAATGCATACCAGGCTAATGCCGGAGCAGTACCCTAACAAACGCGCCATATGTTCTGCCAACTTTCCTTCCTCTACCTTGTCCCATTCTCTCCCCTTTCTTACACACTCATATGCACTACACTACCACAGATGCCGAGAGACCTGTCGGGATCTGAAAGCTTGTTTTGAATGGGCGGTATCCCATTGGTGGGAGATACCTTGTTAGGAAATACCCGCAAATCGACGGGTACGTCTGCACCGGATCTCACCACCCGGCGGGGGAAGATCGCCGCCACCTTCTGCAATAAAACAAGCACTACACTTGCGGGGCTGGCGACATCAGCAATTGACGGAATCACTAATCAATCAGTAGCTAGTCCATTGTGAGCTAGAGAAACTGGAGACGTGTGAACTAATCGTAATTACAATTCCACAAATTAATGTCACGCATTTGAAAATAAACTTATTAACGTCAATTAAGTACATCTAAAAAATAACCAAAACTTAAAACTATGTAAATAAGTAATAAATAATTCCGGTAAATGCCACTAAATACCGCGGAAGAAATCCAAATGAAAGTAAAATTACTTGATGACCCAAAGTCGCAGTTTCTGCTTTTGAAGAAATGGTATTATTGCCAGGAGAGGTTAGTAGCGTCAAGGTCCGCTAAAGCGTATTATTTTTTGCTCCTGACTCACCCACAGTTCCTTCTTACGTTTTTTCGAATAAAATTAACATGACTGAAATCAACAATGAATAAAATAAACAATAATAAATCAAAGATTGGTATTAAAACATATTTGCTGAAATGGCGATAAACTATTTCTCACTTCTAGCTTGTCCTTTCATATTATGTAGATTCAAACTATGTAAGAGATTGGTCTACCGTAATACAAGAAGCCATGGCAAAACTACAGTGCCGGAGATCTGACAGAAAAAGAAGAATTAATATGTAAATTTGTAGAAATACTATAGAAGTTTTCAGCGCTTAGTGTCACACCGATCGTGTAATAATAACTAATTTTAAGTACATCATAATACATTCTTCAGCTTGCTAATCAGAGGGCCTTGAGTAATACATATATTGGTGGAAATTTTCAATAGTTTAAAAATGTCCCTAAAACTCACCCCTCACTCAAGAGAACCCCACAACACAGTTACCGAGTCCAAGAAAATAACTACCCTATCTTACATCAAGGACGCAACTGAAAGAATTGGCTAATCACTAATGACACTACCGTCTTATCGATCTCGGCCATCTGATCTGAGTAAGTAACCTTTTATTTATCAAAAGAAGCCACAATTCCACATTCTGCATTCTGACTAGGCAACGGCCATCCTTGGAATATTTTTCACCCTGCGTTGTAGACGCAGTTTACTACTACGTACTTCCCCCTCATTCATTTCTCCTCCTGACATGTGCTTACTCACCATTACACATCACCCTTCAACCGCGGTCTGACATGAGGGTTTTCCAATTCCTTGAATTAAGCATACATTTTTGGCCAAATTCTAGTTTTCTTAACCCACCAAACTCAGTCTGTATCAACCAGAAAGTTTTTCACAGTCTCACAGATGTATTACTTAGAAATGAAAACCAAATCAGGAGAGGTTTCAACATGACACGTTTCGAGATTCCCTTGCCAGATCACGTAAATAGTAATGTGATTATGTAATTCTTTTTGTTTAGTGAGGGCCTGAAAAGTAGATATTACTGCTTTCAGGGGAATTAGGAGTTTAACTTCTGTTTGAAGACATGAAAGATAATGAAGCTTTCATCTTTTCTGGTTGTGAGTCTAAATTTAACAGAAATTGAAGAATTTAGGATTTAATTGGAGGCATTGGTGAAACAAGTTTTAATGTTCTTAAAGCAGAAGTGATGGTTTCCAAGAAAGAACACTTTGAAGAACTTTCATATAATGTACAAAGGAAACGAAAGAAACTAGTTGTATTTAGTACAAATCTGAACCAATTTCAATCTTTTAGAAATATTGACATTTTGATTTATGTTTTCAAACACTGTGAAGTGCAAAATGTACTGGATTAAGATTGTTATTTTCTATGGTGCAAATACAGTAGTACTACATATGGTTACGGAGTGTAATATTGTCACGTCATGTCAAATTCATTAAGGGAAAGATTGGTAGTTGTGAAAGTTGCAATTAAAGATGTATTTCCCCCAGTGCATGATTATTGTGTGTATTTTTTATGGTATTTTGTGTTTTAGAGAAAAGCCTTCAATTAAAACTTTTCGGCTCATGATCACTTCTACCATCATCTATATTGTGGAAGGAAAAGGCACTCAACCCCTGTCACATGCTTGGAACAGTGGATATAATCAACGTATTTAATTTCACACTTCGCCCATTAATCGAGTTATCATCGATCGTTTTCATATTTTATTCCTGGCCTACATGTACTACCAACGCAATTTAAAAAGCTCTTGATGTAATACTTTTTTGCCTAAAAAGTAGATATTATTGACGAATGATATCTCATGCTTTATTAAACAATTTTAGTTTTTGAAACTTCTCTTGTGCTGATTAGTCAGAATTATTAGTAATGAATTTATAAGTATCTGATGTATTAATATTTATTATGTATAACCAATTTTATTAATGTATTTTTATTACAATGTATTGTATATAATGTACTGTATGTATTTTTATTAATGTAATTAATTAAATGTGTTAATTACATAACATATTATTACAAAATCATGTAAGTAGAATAATTTACTAATTCCTGAGCTCAAAATTTACTAAAAAGACAAGAGGAAATGAGTAAATAGCAGTTCTATTGAGCAAGATGAATTTCAAATAACTGTCAATTTGAAAATCGCGGGGATCAAAGACTCTTCGTTTCAGAAATTGGTGGTCCTGACAACCTTATTAAACATTTAGTTTACCGCCACCACGCTGCCCCGAGTACACACTCCATAACTTCCCTGAATCAGAGTATACTGGTTACGACGGGAATATGAAAAACGTCGAATGACTCTTCTCTGCGTTTTCTCTAATGGAGGGAATTATGGGATGCAAATAAAAAAATAAGTACGGATATAAGAAAATAATATATTAGGTGTAATATAAAATCTTGCGTACACGACGGATGTTTTGGTCAAGAAGCTTTTTGTTGCCGCTCAATCTTTAGAACCCGTTTATAGACTTTTGTAAATAATAACTATATTCTGAAAAGTAATTTTCACCTCAGTTTATACTACCTACTTAAGACAGCACCCTTTTCCGTATTTTAAGAACTTATTTTAGGTGCCTAAAAATAAATTTTGAGAACCTATATACCCGATGTGTAGTTATTATGAACAGTGAAAATATATATTCTGAAGTCTAGAGGTGCATGCTGGGAACCAGCAGTGTGGAGGTGACGTAGCTGAGAGGGGCAACATGGCTGCGATGAACAAGACGAGAAAAGTTGTGAAAGTGAAATGCTTGAATAAGACGTTCGCGAAGTGGTACGTGAAGTAAGACATGGTTGAGTTTGCAGCTGGTTGTGGCTAAATATGGTGAGATCATCCCGCGGGGGGTGACTTGTAGACTGGGCACTGGTGTACTGAGACGCGCGTGTGTGTGTGTGTGACACAATGTGAATGTAATTCAGCATCAAGTGAATGGACATGAATCACTGATGGATAACGGTGCTGAGGTGACCACATGGTGAGTACTGAAAATTTACTAATGTTACAAGGTGCAGATGTGAAGTCGTGGGTGTACAGCTTATAATCGGAAATGGTAAAATGTGTAGAGGTTAGAAAGTGATTGCGGAAATAATGTAAATTGGACAGTAAACGAAGGGACGGGATGTTAGTGAATCATAAATGAATAATTATGGGTTATGTAAGGATGGCTCCATTCTAATGAAGTAAGAGTGAAGTCAGTGAGGGTATACTTAGAAAAAACGTAAGGAATAATATAGGCACAGAGTATTAACGATGGTAAAATAACACCTGGAAGATTTGTAATGAAGAGAGGCAAATGTGGTAAAGAGAAAGGAATATAGAAGTGGTCAATGTTTAGAAGAAAGAGGAAATAACGGGAGTAGATGAAGAGGTGTAGAATAAGAACATTATAGTGATTGGACAGGAACATTTAAAGGGACTGGTTATATTTTCGTTAAGAAAGTGGAAGGAGTAGGACAGTAGAAACTATAGAAGTATGAAAAAAAAGTAAAATGAAAGATTAAAGATAGATTTAAAATAGGAGAGACAAACAAGAATGAGAAGGATTTGGAATAAGGGTTAAAGTAGGGTACACGATACACCCTCAGAAACGTTGAGGCGGGGGTAGGGGTCTCCTTAAAATTACGCTACGCGCCCTCAAATTACGCTACGCGCTCTGATAGAAATGAATAAAACTTACGGAGATGCGATTTTCATGGTTCGCCCTTCATACGCTTTGTCCCCGCCGCATTGTAATGACAATTTACTTTCAACGGCAAGTTTTCTCGCTTCGCTCGTCCGGATCCAAGGCACAGCGAGGCTCGGGCCTTCGGCTCTCGCGTTCACTATAAACATCCTTGAGTCTATCCAACGCATAATTACAATTCACTTTTACAAGAAAGCACTTTTCAAGAAAGCCTCTTGAATTCAAACTGCGCAGTTTCCACCAGAGCTGC